GATTGAACATTAAAGACATGAAATCTCACCTTTTTACACGAAGGGACCTTTAACGGAGAAACATTTGTGAAATAATAGCTAAGTCTCTGATTTGTGAACATGCGTTGATAACATCGTCATCTTCACAGTGTTTGTTTCCTTTGTAACAACCTGTCATCCCTTTTATATGTCTTTTAACGACATACAGTGTAACTCAAAGTGTGATTGCTCTGCTGCCAAACCAATCAGAGAGAACATTGATTAGCAGCGTTTTCCCTTTGCTTCCAGTTGACTGTGTAGTGAAGTTCTATAATGATGTGAGGATGATTTTCACCGCATCGATTCACACATCAATGTATCGAAGCATTAAAGACAACTACATCTAAAAACACATACCCCTCTATAAATAATAAAAACGCCCTCAGAGAGTGGCTGAATGGCGTTATTAAGACTTTGACCTTTGGAGGCAATTATCAGCAGGGTCTAATAGTCTGTGTTTGGCAGTGTCAGCTGTGTGAATGGCTGTGAGTTGGTATGCGAGGAGAGATGATCGATTGGATGACACATCTGCGTGGAACAGGTGCCGCTCTGCTTTCCTCTCTTTGTCCACGCTCGCTCGCTGCAGCTGGGTCTGGTTGCACCCTCCGCCTGCTCTTGGCTTTATCTGCTTTCAATGGCTGAAGATTACATTGCCACGCAGCCAAAAAACGCTCTCCCCTGCCAACCTGCTGCTCCTTCACTCGTGGAAAACATACAAGTCCCAACTGATGAAAACTAAGGAACATCTCTCACCTCGTTCTCCTAATCTGTAAAACAGTGGTTACTGGATAATTAAACCTTCTGTCATTACTAGGCTATACTATTATCTTTCGAGTTTTCTGTGCCTATTAGCTCTTATCTGTGCTTACGTATGTGCTTTTGTGTGTTCATGGGTTTGTATGAGGCTTTTAATTGGACATACGTGTTTTAAAATGTGCTGCTTATGTGTTAATTATGCACATGTGCTTTTTCTGTGCTTATGTTTTCTTCTAATGCCATCAATATGCCAGTGACTGCTGATTTAAAAATAAGTATTTATGGCTCAATCTGGCACACTTACATGATGGACTCAAGTGCTCATGTTAATTAATGTGCATTTTCCCAACTGAAATGAATAAATCCAAAAAACACACACATTCACAATATATATTTTTCAGATTATGGCATTTTCATAAATTGAAATTCAACTTTTTTTCCAATATTGTACACATTTTTTTATTTATTTCAAATAGTCATGAGATCATACAATACAAAAACGTACCCTTACGACAAAACATACCGAACACCGAGATACCGATACAAATGAAGAAAGAAAGAAGGAAAATAAAGAGTGATCAACAGGAGAAGTCACAACCTTGAGAGTTTAAAAAAACGTGCGTATTCTTAACGAGTTTGTACTTGCTGTAACCATAATGCTATTGGTGACCAATCCATAACAAACTCACCAACAGTTCTTCTTAACACCTATGAGAACTTGCACGCCATTTGCATAATGGACATCTGTTTTTCAAACCATGCTAAAATATCACATTATTATTTAAGATGCCAAATGTGAAAGTTATCCCATAGTAGTCAAATATCACATCAATATTTCATACCCATATTTGTAAGGTTAATTAAGCAATAGCTCACGACAGGCCGTGGTATATGCTCATTATATCACAGCTAAGGGGCGTGGTTCGGCCCGACGCGAAGCGAGCAGTTTGCTTTTCAGCCCAACTGTATACAGTTTTTCTCAGACGCGGAGGGATACTGACTTGTTGTGAAAAGTAACTACAATTCTACCCGTGGTATACGCTCAGTATATCACGGCTGAGAACCAATCAGATTGCTTGATTTGACTTGTCCATTTTATAAAATACAATAAATGCTGAGTGATAAATACACATTATAATTGACAAATGAATCTGTAACTTAATACTTTTTTCACATGTAGATCTGTATAGTGGCTACATAAGGTGTTTATTTAAATGTGCATGCCCACACTTGAGAGATAGCTAAACAGGTAGTTCACGCAGTTGATGTCACTCTTATTACGTAGATCCTTTTTACACAATGTTTGACTATTATGTATGTATTTATGTATTCTGACACACAGGCAGACGTGGTTAATTCTCCCTCAGCACATGTAATTTCCACAGGTCACTTATCAACATATAGCCTTCACGCCTCCCTCTGACACCCACTGCCTGCCTTTTAATGTCTGTATAACCTTATGTTGTATATGCCTTTTGAAATTAGAATTAGCAGAGTCTATGAAGAATGACTAGACAAAGTACAACAATTCTATATTTCACCAAGCTCTGCCACAGCTAGAGTAGCGTTGTGCAGAGAGAGAGATGTGTTCAGGCTCCGGTGTGCTGGAATGAGACGCCACTCACCATTAGTGCGAGCTGCAGAAGCTGTGGATGGGATTCAAATGTAAATACGGCTCAGTCATCAGCTTATTGTTACGCAATAACCTTGTGCAATTTCTCTCTCGCTGCTTGTGTGCTACTGTCACATGCTGTGTTATAAAACTTGAAAAATACTGCTTTCAATATGCAATTTAAGACTGAAATACTGCATCTGTTTGTGTATCAGACTCAGAGTGCTTTGAGTTTTCTGTAGTCCTAGATAAAGTAATGATAGTGTGTGTGTGTGTGTGTGTGTGTGTGTGTGTGTGTGTGTGTGTGTGTGTGTGTGTGTGTGTGTGTGTGTGTGTGTGTGTGTGTGTGTGTGTGTGTGTGTGTGTGTGTGTGTGTGTGTGTGTGGTGTGTGTGTGTGTGTGTGTGTGTGTGTGTGTGTGTGTGTGTGTGTGTGTGTGTGTGTGTGTGTGTGTGTGTGTGTGTGTGTGTGTGTGTGTGTGTGTGTGTGTGTGTGTGTGTGTGTGTGTGTGTGTGTGTGTGTGTGTGTGTGTGTGTGTGTGTGTGTGTGTGTGTGTGTGTGTGTGTGTGTGTGTGTGTGTGTGTGGCAAGCTGACTAGTGGATTAGGTCTGTCCGATGGCAGAAGGAGAGGGATCTCCTTTGACAGTGTGGTAGTTAGCCCATCTGTCTATAATCAGCTGTGTGTGTGTGTGCTGCTGCTGCTGCTGCTGCTATGGTTGTACTTTCCACCAGGTGGTCAACAGTACCCTGATGCAGACTTTTGAGGGACGTTGAGCTTGTGATTTCCTACTTGCCAGATAATCTTAACTCTTAAACAGCTGCCTGGAATCGACTGGTTAAAAGTATTGGATTAATCACCGAACCAAGAGAAAATAAACTGTCAATTTGTAATTTTTCTGTGCAGCTCTGACAAGAAAGCCAACACACTCTCTTCTCACGTTTTCCCCCCATCTCTTCTCTTTGAACCTGACAATCATTAATCCCTGCATGCGGTCTCCACTTCATGTGCGTTCCACATATGAATCAGGAGATACATACAAGGCCTATATTTAGAATTCTTGTCATGCAATCATCTACTTCCCAGTCATCTTATAGACAGCTAGGAGGATTGGAAGCGGGGAAATAGTTCCCATCGGATTAATTATGCTTCCTCTGATCATCTGGATCTTTTTGCTGTGGATGGTATATTGTGTGTCAGTTATGGATGGCTGGAACAACACCCGTCTGTTGGTCTTTCTGCTCCCCATACATGCTGCTCTCTGTGGGCTTTGCTTTGAAGAGACTCACAGATGCAGTGGGGAAATGGGCAGAAGCTCTATACGGCAAAGACCACCATGAAGATGAAACACTATGAGTAGGCTCTGCTCTGTGGGACTTAGTGTTGAAGTGAGTCCGTCTTGACTGGACTTTGGCCAATACAAAAAACTAATAATAATAATAATAATAAAAATCTAACTTTTCTTTTTTTGTATGTAGCACTTAAAGGGTTTTTGGCTTATTGAAAACAAATCTAAATGCAGGACTCTTGCTTTTTTGTGTTTGTAACTTTATGGTTGATTGCTGTTATTGTAAGTCATGTTCATCAGCCAAAACATATGTTGTGTAATATATTGTCTGCGTTGTGTCTAAGCGTCATATTCTCTTGTGCCCAATGTTTGTGATATTTTACAGATGCCCTTTTGTGAGTTTTTGAGTTTTATTTTCCCTGTAGTGTGTTATATACAGGGGTGCACATAACTGGTACGCAGGTACGCATGCGCGGCAACAATCTGAAATGCGTACCGTCACTTGTGTCACAAAGCGCATTTGCGTACCGACGTAAATGTGAAGCTTTTCCAGAAGGCGGTTAGTTCACCGGACGACAGAGTCGGTCTCCGTGTGCACAGACAGGGCTGCTGTTAACGTCGGTCTGTACAGCAGCCCTGCGCTAAAACAGCTGATCACAACGTTCACACGCGCCGCGGTCACGAAGCTCTGTACTCTACTGACGCCACCCCCCCCGTTGACAATCGCGAAGCGGTGTACTCCACTGACGCCACCCCCCCCCCGTTAACAATCGAGAAGCGCTGTACTCCACTGACGCCCCCCCCCCGTTAACAATGGTCAGAAGTTGGAGTACCAAACACTGACTCCAGGTACTCATCTGAGGACCTCACTGAGAAAGTTGTGTGCACACCCCTGGTTATATAGATCGTTGTGCATGTAAATGGTCTGCAAAGAGTGAAATCCCTGTGTTCCCTCCAGAGGAAGTTTCTCTCCCACACACTCCCCCCCCCCCCCCCCCCCCCCCCCCCCCCCCTAGCGCTCCAACACATTGTACGTGATAGGCTAAGGGGAGGGACATCTCTAAGCGGTTGGCCAATCACTGCCTGTGCTGCAGCACCTCTTTTCACCCTCTGTCTGAAACCAGAGCCCAGTCTGCTCTGATTGGTTAGCTGGCCGCCTGTATGAGAAAAACAAAGAGCTTTTTGAACATGAATCCTCTTTCACAGTACGGGAACAGAATACATGAATGAAACCTGAAAATAAGCATCATTTTAAGTTGACAAAATGAAGGAATACCGACACAAATGATCCAGTGTTCCTAACTCTAATGTGTTTCTCTGTCTCTGCAGGGAACCTCGGCCGCGTTGACTACATCAGTGAGTTTGAGTTTGACCTCTTCATCCGACCCGACACCTGCAACCCCCGCTTCAGAGTGTGGTTCAACTTCACCGTGGAGAACGTCCGCGAGACACAGGTCAGCACATCTCTTGTACTCCGATACTAACAATCTCTAAAGCTTCTCTACCACTTTCATATTTTATTCCATAATAAGCACATTTAAACCGAAGCTACCAAGTGCTCTGTTTCTCCACACTCATGCTGTGGAAATGTGTTGTTAGTGGGAACACTCGTAAGCCCTGTTGTTCTGCAATGGGTTGGGCCTTTCTCATAAGGGCGGGCTATGACTAAAGCCAGTGGTGTGCAAGATTGACGATTGTTTTAATGAACAAAAACGTATCTTCTACACTTCACCTCTCGATAAGAAGCATTGTAATGTAGACAATGTTAGGGTTAAATGCTTTGAGACCTCTCTTTCACTAGTGTCATACTTTTACTGTATCAACAAATGTGCTGCATTGTTGGTATAAGGTATGTTGTTACTTATATAAAGCCAAGATTTAGTTGGATCCAATTTGATAAAGATATAAGCAATAGCTTCAGTATTAATGAGAGAAAAGCCTTGCTTTAAAAGGCAGTACCATGAACAGCATGAGATGCGGCATTTTCTCGTGACAACTATAACAACTTGTAATAAAATCAAGGCTTTGAAAGGGCATTTTTTTGGTTCGTACCCAAAAAAGAATTAGTCATCATAGTAATTTATATATTTAAAGATCCTTATAGGACACCAGGTTGTGTTTCCGTTCTGAAATAATATTCTGGATCATTTCGCTCTGTTTTTTTTCTTCTACTGGATGTCCACATTGCTACAGTCAGCAGAAGATGTTACCACTTTGAAATAGTGCTATGATTAGATATTATACAGTTCATGTCTTACAAATACAATTTGTGAAGATCCTTTTAACACATTTCAATGCATTCAATGTTGTGCCCATAACACCCCCAAAGTTGTTCCTCCTCAGAATTGAGGCAGTCATCTATTTCCTTCCTCTTTTCTCGTCACAGCCTTCGAGCTTGACTCTGCCACTAGCGAGCTCTGAGCTCTGTGATTGGCTGACAGAGGTGGTCACATGCCACAGAGATACACTGTATGTGGGTACAGTGAGTGTGGCTTCGGGGGGATGGAGGCTTGTTCTCTTCTATTTGAAAACTTAGCAGGATAAGAAGAAGGTAAAATTGACAATCTTGGCATTTACTGTAAGTCGACTGCTGCCGTGTAACATGTACGCATACTGGCTTGTCAGGATTAGGTACGAGGCAAACAAAAAAGGAGAGATAAAGTTTAGAGATAGTGTGAAGACAGAGGGAGTAGGATAGAAAAGGTAAACATATTGACAAAATGAGAGCGAGAAAAAGGTGTGGATGAATACAGAGCATGCTGTTGCTGCTGTCTTCCTGTAGTGTCCGACCCAGCCTATCAGCCCATCTCCCTGCAGTGCTGTAGTCAGCACTAATCACATTTTATGGCTCTGAGATGAATGGGAGGCCTCGGCTTGGAGCCTGATCGATCCCAGGGCCAGATAGACCAGCATGCAGTCTGCTGCCCGGCCAACAGGATATTTGCTGCTGTGGCAAAATGACAGAGAAAGTGTGGGAGCGAGGTGGAGAGGAAGCGATCGCGGGAGGGGAATATGACACACAAGATTGATAAATATCCTGTGTATGATCACACTATGTACACTGGCACATGCTAAGCTTACATGTGAACAAACATTTCCATTGGACACTTCCACGCTCTCAATCCATAGGGCCCCTCTTTTATAGAAACCTGTTTCTTATCTGTCCAATTTCCTTCTTCTAAGAGGCCTTGTGTGAATTTAATCTACTCCAGTAGAAGGTGTTGTGGTTAAGTGCTGCCTGTGCATTTGGCCAAGGTGTGAGTGTTTATTTTATGTGTGTGTGTATATACTGACGCTGTGATTATATTGTGCCTGGAAACGTCAGAATTCACAGAAATCTTTGGTCTACACCCTAATGATTGTAATATTGATTTGATGGAGGAAACAAAAATGAAGCTGAGAAATTAAAGAGACACAAAATAATTACATGAGTAAATAAAGCAACTAAGTGTAGCTATGTGGGGAGAGGCTGTGCTATAGAGATATCAGTGGGTTCCAGGGGAGAACTGGGCTGTTGGAGTGTTTCATCCAGCTAAGCCTTGCTAACTCTCAGCCTGAGCCAGGGGAATGGGGAACAGTAAAAGCCCGTGATATTGGAAGTGAGATGGCCATTTTGAAGGAATGTAAGCTGGTGAAACAGATTTGGTCTGCCTCAATCAGCTTAGCAGCTTTGTGGAAATTGGCTTCACCGTAGCACCGGTTATGATGGATGGCTGGATGGATGAATGTCTCTTTTTTTGTATGTCCTTTCTTTTTTGTGTGTTTTTCAAACCACTCACTTACCTCAAAGACTCAGACCAATTCTGGGAGCGTTGGTTTGCAATGAACGGGACAATGGGACACAGTTTGAGGTTTTGCTTGGCGCTGTGTGTTTTCTTCGGGTCTCTCTCTGAGTCTTCACTGGGCCTCATGAAGACATACAGTCTGTGTTTCACTACATCTCCTTCTTGATACGATAACTTACTTAAAGTAGCCTACACCAAATCTAATGTTGATTTCAATTGCTCTTTGGATGTTCCCATGACTCTGTTTGGGAAGTCGTTCTTTCAACTACAATATGCTTTAGGTCTTAAGGTATAAGCTATAATCTGAGAAGAACATGCTCAAATGTTTGTTTTTGTTGTTCAGAGCATTTAATCAGCATATTAACATCTACAGTATTTCAGAATTGTTTATCCCACTTAAGGCAGCGTTCTCATGAATTTCCCAGTCCAGAAATAAATTGTTCGATCGTTCTGAATTCCCATCATCATACAACAACTTATTTGTGTTGTTTTTGACCAAATACCTGTTATGCTTTATTGGTTAAATATGACATTCCTATCAGCCTAAGTCATACTTTGTGTTAACTGTCAATAAGCAACATTTTTCACAGGTGTGCTCAAATACAGCCTCACAGAGCCTCCTGTGTGCTAAGTTATCTTACTGTATCTGTGATTGACAAATGACCAATGTATATATTACCCATTTTAGTTCCACCTACAGTATCAAATGTTTTTTCTGATCATTTCTACTGCTTGTCTTTTATAACCATACATGCATTATCTATTTTAGTTACAAGTATACCCCTTTGCCTACTTAGTCATCATCCAAATACTAACTCACACTTGGTGCTACACAGTGTATCTTGGCCAGTAATGGCCAGGAAAATGTTCTCCCATCTCATATTCTGAATAAAATAACAGGGGACCATTAAAAAAGTTTTCGCCGGATGTCCAAACCGAGTGAATTTTAACCTGACAGCTACTTCTACTTAATTTCAACTTCTGCCGATGTTATGACCAGAAACCAGTGGATGAGTTGATATGACACCCCATTGGGTAAGTTGATATGCCGTTCCATTCTGCTGTAGGGTGTGCTTGATGTCAGGCTCCGTGAAGGGCACGGCTGTGAGCTATTATCATAGGAGCCTTCAGGGAGCCATTCATAGAAGACAGGCAGTAAAACCTTGCGCCCAGTGCCTTCAACTCCTCCAGCTCTTCCAAATGCTGCAGGGGTGATTTGTAAGCCTCACTTGTCCAGGGAAAGCACAGTGCACGGCGGTTACTCTCCATAATCAGGAAAGAGGACGAACTGAAGCAGAATAGGCCATGTGTTACCTAGAATCCCTAAAGAACTGTCATCCCTTCACTGTTTCAGACTCACTCACCTCTTTGAAATCCGTCATCAATTATGTTATGCAATTTGTCGAGGGGGAAAAGTTGGATGGCACATCAAATGAAACATTAAATAGGATGTTAAAGCTATCACAGAGCCATTATGGATGACGATAATCAACCTGTTCTTCTTTTATTCAGCCACTATGAGGCAGTTATATAAATCAGTTCAGAATGTGATCAGATATCACATGTCATAATACCTAATTGAGTTTAAAAGGCCTTCTCACATCCTCGACAAAGTGTCACTTTCTAAATGTGTAATTGACTTATCAGTTTGAAAGATACCTCATTAATATGCTGATGTCTTGTGCTTAAGCAGACACAAAAGGAACAAAGTTAAGAAGAGTGAGTGAATGAGAGAAAGACAGAGAGATAGGGAGACAGCAGTGCAAGAGTAGGGTAATGGATGTGATGCACATTGATTTTTTTTTTCCATCCAGAGGAGACAAGCAGGAAGAGAGGGGAAAGGAGGAGGAGGAGGAGGAGGAGGAGTGGTGTATTTACGAGAAATGACTTCTTCATGTAAGCAATACATTTCCCTCCCATCCTAAATAAAGCACGTTGGCGGAAGTTCTGGGAAGTCAGCTGCTGGTCGTGGTGTGTAACATCAAAGCCAGCCTCCATAATAGGGCTTCTTATCTGAACTCACTGCTTCATCAGCTCTGGACAATGTTCTGGCGTAGAAAGCCTGTCTCGGCTATGTGGATCAACACATGTTCCCAATCTGGTTATACTGTATATCCGCATCTAGTTCACCTCTGTTTCATCCCTCGTTTCCTCTGTGTCCCTTGCATCTTTTCACTGTCATGTCTGTGTTGTAATGTCCTTCAGCATGTGACAGAGGCAGAAGAAGACAGACAGGTCTCTGGCACACATTATTGGATGAACATAAGCTAATCATTGCTGGCATAGCATGGCCATGAGTGTGCAGTGCAGGCAGCTGATTGGTGGCAGTTTCTCGAAGCCCCAAGGAAGTGCGTCAGGCTTTAAATGAAATGTTCTTGGTGGCTAAAAGGTGGTATTACATTCTCGTGTCAGTGATGTCATTTGGGCATAACAATAGCTGGTACCCATTGACTTACGCTTGGAACGAGACATCTGTAAATCAGTGGATTTTTTTTTTTTTTAACCCCTATCAAGTTGCTAGGACGAACTCTTGAGTGGATCTAGATTTAAATCATTAGAGTTTAAAAGTTTTATGCTGTATGGTCGAATCCAGTTATCCGAGTTATTTTCCCTCTACATTAATTAGCATGAGCCGAAAATGGACAACATTGATGGAGCGGATTAGTGGC